AGGTTTACAATTATGGATATGGATTATGGATGATTATAGATATTTGTGCTTTTTTTCCCAACTTTTGGAAAACTTGTTTACATAAAAACTTCTCTCCATTTTTGAAACTTAATGAATGTTCAGATTTTAACGCATCTGCTGCTTCACAGTTGTTCCTTTAAGTCGTTCATTATTTTATGTCCCTACACGTGTACTGTACCTTGTCTTTAGCAAAGTCATGCCATGTTATGAACAGGGCAGAAAGAGCTGTTGTCTGTTATTCATTTTTAATGATGTAATATCCATATATTTCACTCATATAAAACATATTGCATTATTGAACACGAGTCAACAAAATAACAGAATAACCTCTAGTCCATATATTCATAACTATAAAGAATAAATATCGTCAAAGTAATGCAAGGCCCTCTTGCCAAGGGAAATCATCCCTTCAAATTGGGATGAGGACAGCTGCTTTGAGACTAGACGGCAATAACACTTCTAGAAAGTGAAGCCTTTTAATAATGAAAAACCAAAGACACTGTTCTCAGAAACTCCCAGAAACTCTGGTCTTTATTTATTTATTTATTTATTTTTTATTAAAGAAGGCTTCACCATTATTTATATCAGTATCAACATAAAAACTTGTCTGTGCATTATTCTGGTATCTATTAGCTCCTGGTTGTAACTTCTCATCAGTCAAACAAACTACTTCTGCTTGAACAGCTGCTTGGAAAATTCATCTGGTTGTGGTTTACTGACTTCCTGCCTACATCAAAAGAATTTGGCAAAAGTTTTTGTTCTTTCTTCTCTCCTCTAATTTGGTTTGATTAAATGAAAAAAAAAGGAGATTCAAAGATTCACTTATTCCTTAAGTAATTTATATTCAGGCCTTGTGGAAAAAACACATCATGATCTATTCCGAGTGACTGGTGTCTATTTCTGTCTTTCCCAGAACCTCAGTTTACACAGACAAAGCGTTTTGGGGTCACTGATCACATCCCCCATAAATAATCCTTGTAGAATACACCTCCTGGCGAGAAATGTAACTCATTCAACTTCTGTGTGAGTGGTTGAGTTTCCAAACGTTCTCGTTACTCTCTTGTTACGTTTATGTGTCAAAAAACACTCCAGTTTGGTGCTTTTTTAATGTTACAGTTACATAATTTAAGAAGCAACAAACTGATAACAGCTTGGTGTAGCACTGTAATCCAGTTGGATTTGTACTGGTGATACAAATATAGCCCTATTTAATATTATTTTTTATAAATCAGATGGTGGGTTTGGGCATTACATCTGCATACCTTTCAGTATGTAGGAAATGTATATGTCTTCACCAAACCTTATAGCAAAGAGCTATTGTTTAAAACTACATTAAAGTAGTTCTCTAATAATTAGCTTTGGTGTATTATGCTAGCATTGATTAATGATGGTGTTGGTCTTATGCAGATATGCGGAAGGCCCTAAAGAATGCTGATAAGCTACTAACTCGACAGCCAGAGATTTATTACCAACTACCCATGTATGCTTATCCACGGGGAAACAAGTGGACAGATTTGTTCTTTTGCAGACTTATCAAGTTCATTTCTTGCAGTTCCTTCTTTCCCCCTACACATGAAATAGAACTTCAAATACAGGAAACTGATTGAAAAGTTGATTTAGAGCATGGTTTTCTAAGTTCTGGGTGCTGAATGGCAGTTTAGAGAGAGCTATTTTGGACTGCTGCCCTCTCACAAGGGTTCGCCACAGCAGCCACAGCCTCATGTTAGATTTGGCAAATGTTTTATGCCAGATTTCTTTCTCTGATCGAACCCTAAAGTGATTTGTGGATCCTCCTGGAATCAAACCAAAGACCTTTCACTTGTTTGTCAAATATGTAAACCACTACACTACGGAGCCACTGAGTTACATAACACAGAGAGGCAGAAAAAAAATGCATCAGTCACTTTTAGTTAGTGTTTGTAATGTTCCTGTTTATACAATGGTGGTTTATGTTGGCAGGTGTAATTGTTGTGCTACATTGTGGTTTTTCAGCCTTTAGTTGAGTGGCTGTTTTTTTTCTGACTCCAGCTGTATTTGTGTATGTTGGCACTGTTGAGTCTGCAATGATGGCGTGAACAGAAGTGTTAATACTGAAGAGACATGATCCGTTGGCTTCATTCTGTGCTGTTATAATATGACATGACTGTTGAATGAATTAAATACACAGTGGTGGAGTCTTTCCTTGTCGTGCTTGCAGGCCACACAACATGTTACCAGAGACTGCCACTGAGAACCCAGGCTTAGAAAGATGCAAGAAAGTTTCAAGTTTTCTTCTGAAAAACTTTCATGTATTATCTGACTAAAAATACACTTAACAAAAGCCACGGCTTATGTTAAAAAAGCAGGAGCAGGACATTTGATTTAAGTTGTTAACTAAATTGACCCAGTTCACGCCGCAAATCTTGAACTTCTTATTTTGAAATTTGCAACTGACAAAAACAGAGGTCAATGATATCCTAGCTTGCCACTATTAACAGTGGTAAATGGCCTGTATTTGTATAGCGCTTTACTAGTCCCTAAGGACCCCAAAGCGCTTTACACAACCTGTCATCCACCCATTCACACACTGGTGATGGCAAGCTACATTGTAGCCACAGCCACCCTGGGGCGCACTGACAGAGGCGAGGCTGCCGGACACTGGCGCCACCGGGCCCTCTGACCACCACCAGTAGGCAACGGATGAAGTGTCTTGCCCAAGGACACAACAACCGAGACTGTCCAAGCCGGGGCTCGAACCGGCAACCTTCCAATTACAAGGCGAACTCCCAACTCTTGAGCCACGATCGCCCCAAACAGTGCTGCCAGTATGATTCAGTAGTAAAAAAATCTAGGTAGAAAAAAACACAAAAAAAAAAAATAAAAAAACACCCCCCCACAGCTCCCCCCTCTGTTTTACACCCCTCCCACCAATAAATAAAAGAATAAAATAAGGATTTGTGTTCATGCACTGTTCTCTGCTTAACCACTCTACAACACCACTTATTATCTACTTTGTGGACTTTTTAAGTCTCTTGTACTACTTTGTAAAGTGTTTAAAAAGGAACTGTGAGTCTCTACAGTATGAAATCCGAGTCCAGGCCACACAACCATTATCAACAATTAATTTTTTTTGAGTGCGTCAGCCATGATGTAAATAGAGAGTAGGCGGAAATAGACCATGACATACGATGGTTTATGTTTGTTAGTATCACATGCTTCTGCAGCAAAATTTTGAGAATTCAGTGTCGGTCCTGTGCTTAGTGGCCAAATTTCTCACGTTGCTACCAGCTTGAGAGCCTAAAAAGATGGATGTCATTTTCCCTCAGTTTGTTCCTGCTCTGTCCTCATTTCTCTTCCTTGGTGAAATAGAGCACAGGGGCCTTTACTTTTACCACATTGTTTCTTTTCCTCATCAACTTATCAGCTCTACATTACCGTTTCCTTTTTCACTTTGCCCTTTCTGTTGTCAGGCTTCCTTCCCCGCGTCTCCATCCTGACCCCTTTCTCTCTACCTCGCTTCCTTTTTATCGCTTTTACTTTTGTGTTACATCTGCTTCGACACTTCTAGTTCTCCTCCTGAGCCTTTTTAGTCTTCCATCCTCATTTGTCACTTTTTCTTGTGCCTGTCTGGTTCCAGCCGTAATTGAGCTTTTTTTTTTTTTTTTTAATAACCCCTGGTTTCTTTACACTCACACCACTCCTCTATTTCCCCCTTGCCTTTCACCTTTTTTTCTGACTTCCTTTGACGTTTGAAGGAGAGTGGGGATCCACTCAGCTGACAAAGAGAGAGGCAGTGACGTCACAGCAGACATGATACACCAGCATCTGCTCTGGTCTAAAAATACACACCACAGGGCACACACAGTCAGTCTGCAGCTGCACTCAGCGTTTGTTTTCACCTACACGCTCTGCTGAGATGGCCCAGCTTTTACACAACTGGGGCTTGTGGGCACGCTGGGCTACATGCTGCTGGCCTTAAACCGAACACCCAAGATGTGTTCAGATATTAAGACTCCGGGTTGATGCGGGTGCTGAAATGAACCCCGTGGAGGCTGCAAGGAATATCAAATTGTTCAAAGCCCTTACTGCTGACTGATAAAATCTGTGGCACTTAGATATCTTAGAAAGTGTTCAAGATTTTTTTGGGGGGGAGTTTCATTTATAGTAATTGTTTATTCAGTTGTCACACCAATTGTCTGTTATTGTTGTCTGTTCAGCAATTTTGTGATAAAAATATTTATACATGTCTGTAATCTGGGTAATGCAGTTTTACTGATAGAAGGAGAACTGTAGCCTATGTTCAAAACAGTTGTGCTTATTGAAATTTAAAAATAAACTAAAGTGCAAAGTAAATCTGGGAGCAACTGAAAGTTCAACTGGGACAAGCATTTGCATTTGTATGGTTTCAGTCATGTACCACTATAAAAAAAACAAACAAAGAAAATACAAGTAAAAAGTCAGTATTCACCTCTTAGTGCCCAGCTGCTCATTACTTAAATGCTGTTCAGCTGTTTAGATTATATAGTAAGCCAGTTTGAGGACAGCCACTCAAACTTTCAGTGATCTTTTGGAGGAAGGGGCACCTGTATCTCTGCTGCTCCTTAACAGTGGAGTACATACTGTAGTCGTTCTTTGGTGCTGCGTGGGTGTTAAACCTCCCCAACCCTATGCTTATTCCCTAATGCCATTACAGTAAATAAGAATGTTTTCCTTGTGAAGCTGCTGGGCAGCATAATAATAATAATAATAATAATAATTATTATTATTATTATTTTAATTGGACCACTTTTTTGATACATACATATAGGTCTTCAACAAACCTTGCCTATTTTCTCTGTAAATTTTTCTTTGCCATCAATGATAAAATTATGAGTTTGATAAAGGTATCTGAAAAATGTGATCATTTCTCAAATAATGCTTGTCTTTTTCTGTTTTTCTCCACTGCGTGCTTGTCTGTGTGCATGTCATTTGTCTGTTTGTTGTTGCTGGCATGTAACTAGTGAAGTGGAGCAGGCAGGTCTGTCAGATTTGGAGATCATCTCCCAGCCGGTGGAGGATGAGAACCAGTGCTTGGCTCCTCCAGTCCAGCTGGTGAGTTTTGGCTACAGAGATCTGCCCCTTGCAGCTCTGGACCTCTCCCTGGCTGGCTCACAGCTGCTCTCCAATGCAGATGAAGATGAAAACAGGGAAGGGTGAGTGAAACTTGTGTTTTATATGTATATATGTAAAATTTGTTTCTCTAAACTCTGTGCTGTCCTATAAAAAACTGCATGAAACATTATTACTTGTATTGGAATTAACAGGGTAAGATTCACCGAGGTACTGCTAATCAAATGTGCTTGATTAACTGATTATCAGCAATTGTGTCCACCTCTGTGAAAGCAGATGTTTGGGCAGTTTGCTAGTTGAGAGCAGCAGGTGTGTGTTAATACAATGGAAAAAAAAATCGCCAGTAGACTTTAAGAAGCATGATAGTAAATTAAGAAAAAAGACTGAACAAGTGTTGCTTGTTTGGATGGGTTCCCAGGAGGAAGCCTCTTCTCTCTAAAAAGAACATGGCACCACATCTCGGGTCTGTAAAGATGCATCTGAACAAATCACAAGACTTCTGGAACAACGTCCTTTGGACAGACATGACCAAAGTGAAAATATTTGGCCATAATGCATAAACGTGAATCAGTTGTGGTGAAAATCAAACACAGCATATCAACACAAATACGTCATACCTCAAGCACAGTGGTACTGGGGAGATGATTTGGGTTTTCTTTGAAGCCGCAGGACCTGGGCACCTTGCAGTCACTGAGTCAGCCACGAACTCCTCTGTTTACCAAAGTATTCTTGAGTCAAATGTGAGGCCATCTGTCTGACATCTGAATTGGGTCATGCAATGATAATGGCTGAAACAGAACAAAATCAAGGCATTGCAATGGCCCACTGAAAGTCCAGACCTCCACTTATTTGAGGTCTAGACTGCTGTGGTCCTGCTGTGGTGGGACCTTAAGGGATCTGAGCACAAACGAATGTCCACAAACCTGAATGAACTGAAGCAATGTTCTAAAGAAGAGTCATACAGAAAACCATTACTTCACGTTATTGCTGCTAAATGTGGTTCTAAAAGCTACTGAATCATGTGGTATACTTTTTCATAGCACTGCATGCCTCATACCTCAGTCCCAGTTCTTCTATACTGTTTAGGTACAGAAAGTAGGTATGTATTAGCACATTTTGCAGTCCTATATTTATATGCACTTATGCTGTTATATATTTTTTATTTCATGTGTACTGTACATGTATGCATGTGTCTAAATTTGTTCTAAATGCAACCTTCCAGTGTTAAGACCATTAACACAGCCATTGTGGAACAGGCACTTAAATCTGCTGTCTGCGGTTATCGCAGCCAACAATGTAGATTTTAAGTTTACATAAAACAGCAGCCACTGTTTGTAGACTTACACACCAACACACACATGCACACGACCCATCACACTTGCATAAATGCCACATGGTATGCAAGATTATCATCCATCATGTGTTAAGTCTCCCGCCCCAAGTCCTTGACTTGCTGTCCCCGTTGCTCAGTATTACGTCCATTTATCATTAAGTGACAACCTCTGGGTTGTCCTGCGTCCATAAGTTAACTGAGATCAATTCATCATTTCAGGCTAAATATCTGCCCTCCTCGCCTGCCTGCTGACAATAGGAGCCTTTATTGTAAGTGACATTTTACAGTGCATGAGCCAGAAGCCGATAGTATCACACACTTAATTTCTTTTACTGTCTAACTATACATGCTGTCACGTTTAATTACTTTATTGAGTCCGCAGTTGATCAAAAGTTGGCAGTTAAAGGTTGTACGCCTCCACGCTTCCAAGTTTTCCTTAGTCTTTGATGTTTAAGTAATTTAAATCCTGAAAATGATCAAAAGCTGTTCCATAATGATTTGTGCTTTGTATCCATATTATACAGTAACTAGTCATTATTATCTTGTGTTTTTTTTCTTTTATTCATACTTTTCCCTATGACTGGGAATCCTGGACTTTTCCATGATTCTCAGGTAAACTTTACGAAAACGGGACTCAAGTTTAATCAGAATCAGAATACTTTAAGGAAATCGTGTGGCTACAGTTGTTCCAAGACAAAGTACTAGAAGTAGCACTTTGTAGTAGTAGTAGTACTTTACACTCTAGTACTTTATTATAAAGTACTAGAGTGTAAAATGTTAAACATATCTCAGTTACTGTGAGCGAGACAATAATTCTGTCTCAGTAATTGTGTGATACTTACGAACTGCTTATCACAGTCCTTGTTATTCTATCCTTTCACATGATTGTGCAAATTTTAGGTTTGACATATGGATATGAGGTCAGATCACAGCTGTCTTTGAGATTAGTCACAACATTAACAACCTTTTTTTTCACCATGCAAAATCTGCCCACCGTCCAGTCTTTGCATTCTGTCCAGCAACTGTGACTCAAACCTGGCTCTTAGCGTGAGATCTCACTAGGATGCACATAAACACCATAAGCTGTACTACAGGATCCAAAACATGCACACATACACAAACACACACAACATATCCATACATGCTGCCTCATCCAAGTACTCCGTTTGACACCAAATCAGGTCTCACTCCATTGGTTCGCTTCAGTTAGCCTCTCATGGCCAGAAACAGATGGATTTCACAGACGCATCGTGCTGACACTCACACTGCGCCAGTATTACAACCAGTACAGTCCTTGTGTGTCCTATTCCAGATCAGGGTCACTGGTACCATGCATTTCCTTCCCTATACTTAATGGTTAGATGTTTCAGTGTTCGTTGTGAATGTGCTGTGACACCACCAGCTCAGTGTCTGGATTTGGTGTTGTTAGGAAACACTTTAGTGTACAGATATGAATTATGAATGCAGCATTTCCTATTGTAGCTCAACCTGTGACATATACCTGGAAGGCATTTCTTAAACCAAGAGTTATCCGGTAAATGGGTCACGTCCCTGCCGTTGTAATCACAAAAATGAGAACAGCAATCTCTCCAAATGAGCTTGGGTTTGAGGGCATGAGACTAAATTTCTCCTTCTGGTCCAGATGCTGAAAAACTTTAAGAAGCCCTGCTGTAAGAGGCTAGAACAACAGATTTAGCAGACACCGTTTTAAAGGTTATTTTACCAGTGGGCTCAATTTACTCAAAACGAGCTTAGCGTGATGGGGTCACTATTTCATATTCAAGCCATTAGTGTAAAATGTCTGCCTGTAAAAACGCTGCCAGTGGGAGTTGTAAAAGTCATCATTCTTTCTTTTAGCTTTAATGAAATTCCATTTAAATCCACCAGGCATGAGCTTCAGTAACGTGTACTTTGCATCTTCTCTAAACCTTAAACGATGTACTAATCTTTCAAATTAATCACTGTTACCGGTCCTTGTCGCTGGCCTTTGGTTTGTCCGGTTTGTTAGGATGTTCCCATATCTCCTCCTTTGTGGCTAATGTGTAGAAATTTCAAAAACCTTTGCTGTTTATAGGTCTCGTGTCAGATCACATTTTTTTTTCTAAACTATGAGATTTTGAGATTTAACAAAAGCCCTCTGAAGTAGTCATAAGCAAGCACTGGATGTGAAAATCGTAAAATATTAAAAAAAAAACAAAGTGCCTACTGACATTAAGGCCATTAGAAAATGCAAGATGTTGCAAGTGTGTCCAAATGAACGCGTCACTCAGCCTGACGCCCTCCAAGACCCGAATCTATTTTATTCTGTGGGTTTCAGCACCGCTGGGCTTTCGGTGATTACGCCTGTGCCTCCGTCTCCTCATTACCGTATCGATCTACCTTTCAAAGAGACAGCAGCCATTAGCCCTCCTTAAATGACATTCACAAACATCACGCCCCATGCCCCATCATCATGTTTTACTATGTTCCCCTGCGGCAGTGGGCAGCTTTCTTAAATCAGCGCTTTAACATCACCTCCCAGTGAGTTGACTTTGTTGGGTCATAACAGTGTGTACGCACCATCCTGCCCGTATCTGTCTTCGCCTTCAGAATGCAAATGGGAAACACTGGAGTGCATCTACCAGAGTGACTGATGGGTAAACTCACCTTTAGGAAAATGGGGCAGGGGAAATGAACCTTTCTTATGGGCGTGAGGAATGATGAAGTGAAGTTGAGAGGAGGCAAGACAGCGGCAGCGCGATGGCAATCCACAGTCATCAAAATGAAAATGTATGTCGGAGAGAAATCTGTTGGCTGCTCCGCTGACTTTACCTGGGAAAGTCGATTGCCACCGACACCACACCCCCGCAGACCCCGCCACTTTCAGTCTGCATTAGATGGCTCATTGGCTTTCTGAGAGTGAAAGAGCGTCATGAAGAAAACAGTGCATGGGAAATGTTTAGGCATGCTCTGTAGCGATGTTTGGCAAAACGAGAGTGCACGCCCATGAAAGTGAGAATGTCACAAGCATGGTAGAGGTGTTTCATCAACAAGGTGATGGTTCATTGGATGAGGGGCTGAAGTTATTTTCAGTGGCAGTTTGGGAATGTGTTGCTGTCAGCTAAACTTTTCTCGTCTACTCATTCCAGAGAGAAAGTGGGTGTAAATGAAAAATATGCAAATTCAAAACAGATATGTTTTCTCTTTAAAGACACGGTTTACAGTAAATTTAATGTACCAGCTTGCAGCATATTTTAAAGTTATTGAACTAATCACTTTTGTTGATGAGATCCTGAAATGAAAATCTGCATGGAAAATAAATCACACATTTATATGTTGGGAGTGGAAGACAAGGCACAAGCTGTTTTTCTTTTTTCCTCCTCTCACAGATTTACAGATTAATTGCAAAATGAAAAGCAGTTTGTGTTATTATGGTTTGCCAATACTATAAAGATGCAGCGTGTTTCATAGCAGGATGCAAGCAGAGGGGATTAATCAAGAGAAAAGGCTCCTGTGTCAAGCTGCCACTGTGTGATGAAGCACCTACTGTCAGGCATGTTCGCATATCATAGCCTTTAGCATTGTGAAGGTGGAGCTGACCTTACTGCTATCTCTCTCGTATAGTGTGCTGCCCTCACTTCACACAGTGGGAAAGTAGTCACTCACAGATCGCCGCTCATTTATTTACTTTTCCTCTCTCTTCCTTACACACACACACACACACACACACACACACACACACACACACACACACACACACACAC